ACTTTGGTTCACCCCCACCATCCCACAGCAGCATGTGAACAATCACGTTCTTGGAGGTTCTTCAGTTTTAAACCAAATAACTCAATAACTCAATGACTGACTGGACAAAACATCCACTGAGGTCTGGTGCTGCTACCAAACCTCGGACATGTCACAATCCGTGTTTTTCTTTGTTTGATTCTTTGGTAGGTTTTGGATTTTCATTATTCTAGACTTTAGCTTTGATTACGATTCTAGGCGAAGTTTTCTTATTGTTGGTTTCTGTGACTCACTATGACTATTACGCTCATTTTGCTCTCTGCAGTCTTCTGTCCTGAGTTCTCCATGGCTGAGTTATTGCCTGTTTTATGTTATTCGGTTAGTGTCTCATGTTTTGTTTGTGTTGTACTCTTAGTGTTACTTCTTTTATTGTTTTAATTAGTTTGTGTTGTGATCTTTTTTCTTCAGTGTGGACTGCACTTTGTTTTTTTCTTGGACTTCTGCCTTCAGCCAAATAAAAGTTTGTTGTTTTTCCTTACCCCTTCCTTATGTCAATGACAGGATAATTCCAATTCTGATTTTGTTTTTCAATCTGGACTTTGCAATTCATTGCTTTCTTCTTTCTTAGGTTTAAGGCTTTTATGTTAGCATATTCTAATAGATATTTTAAACCACTCTGCCATGTGATAAAAGACAAATATTCTACTTGTGCACTGACTAAAGCCAATGACTCCGACAAACTCTTTCACCTGACAGTTGATTTACATCATGCACATTTACTGCAAGCAGGAATGATTCCTGTGTTCTGCTGTTTAAAAATACAGTGAAGCCTCTTACTTTTTCACAGAAGTTACCTATCGTATAAAAGCTTGGTTTGGTTTTTTTTTTGTTAAAATGGTGGAACATGGTGAGTAAAGCCTTATGATTATTATTGGATCATAATGTATTGTAACTCAGACCAGGTGCACTGAAGGGCAGAACATGACTCACCACAGCACACAGTTGTGTTCAGACGTTTACATACGCTCATCATTGACGTGCACGTCATTGTAATTTGAGCTTTTAGTGATTTCTTTGAACTGATGTGTTTGTATGCTGTATGGCAGATGTTTTTAACAACTTGGATTGGGTCAAAACTATACGTACAGGTTCAAATACGTGCTTACACTCCCACTAATATCTGATTAAATGTCACTGTAGCTCATTTACTAGGGGCCCGTTCTTCGTACCTCGCTAAGTAAGTTAGCTGGATTTGATTGTTGACGATTTCGCGTGATCTTGGATCGTTCGGTTCCCCGAAGCTCATCCGGGACTTGCTGTCATAGCAACAGAGCCGTAAGCGTAAACCTGCTCGGGAGCAGGTTTACTTTATGTAAACAGGATTAGATCGCGGCCACGCAGGTATGTCCGCTTCATTTATACGAAAGCAACAGCGATATTCCACCACTGTTTCACCATAAATAAATAACATCAATGTAACTAAAGATAATGCAGCACTTGATCCTTTTATTGATGTCACACAGATACATACAGGTCATTTCCTAAAAAAGGGAAATGTACTATTAACATTCTATTACATGTATGTGATTATTACAGATGTAATTCATATTTCAGAGTAGTAATTGTAAATTACTTCGTGTAATCAAGATGAGAGACCACGGCTATAAAAGCGAAGGTGGATTTGGGAAGTCTGTCGCAGCCATGTCCTGTCCGTATACGCGAGCAGCCCATTGCGGAAGGTGCGAGATTGATAAGGAGAGTCCTCAGAATTCAGCGTATATTGCGGGACAGACAGGATCCTTTAGCTCAGCGCGACAGTGTGCTCATAGAGAGATATCGATTTTCCCGTGAGGGTATTATTTACTTAACCAACTTGTTGACGAGGGGGTGCAGGACCACCACCTGTCTTTTTTTCCTCTGCCCTTTTCTTGGTTGCTGTTATGAACAAACTAACAGAGTATTACAGGCCAGTATTACCTTGCCAAGAGACGAAAAGCAATCTAAGAGATAAATATTACCATTCTGTAGAATATTCTTATATTTCACTTTTACTTGTTCCCATGTTCTAGTGGGTCCTGTTGTGGCTCTAATGTGAAAGAGGATATAATGTAATATAATATAATATGTAATATAATATAATAAATTTACCCTACCGCCTACTGGTGTTGGCCAGAGGGGCCGATGGCGCGATATGGCAGCCTCGCTTCTGTCAGTCTGCCCCAGGGCAGCTGTGGCTACAACCGTAGCTGCTTCCACCAGTGTGTGAATGTGAGAGTGAATGAATAGTGGCATTGTAAAGCGCTTTGGGTGCCTTGAAAAGCGCTATATAAATCCAATCCATTATTATTATTATTATTAAATTACTTACGAGTTTAATTTGTCAGCAACTTTCTGCCAGCCCTCTCTCCTTGCTTTTGCAGCCTTTGCAGTGTTCCCTTGCGTTTTAATTAAACTCTGAAACTCCTGAAATCCCTCACTCAAGAGTTCTTGCTCTGCTGCCGAAAAATACCGAGCGCGCTCCTTCGACATTTTCGCCGACCAATCAGAGGGTTGCCGATCAATGTTTCTACTATCGATGCGTAGCCCCTTTTACGACACCCAGTGATCTCACATTACTTCATCCAGCTGTACTAATCGTCAACAGCAGGTGTGTTCGGAGAACCGGATTAGCGAGCTCACGGTTAGCGCGATGATTTGGTCTTGGATGTGTCATTTGATCTTGGATGTAGTAAGCGACGTATGAAGAACGGGCCCCAGCTCTGTGAAACTTGTAAACAAATATCACATGCTTCGCTTATCCAAGTTCGCTTTACTGACAAATGTTATATTTGCAGAGTTTGTACCCATTGCCACAATGAAACTATCCATCCATCCATCCATCCATACTGTTTTTGATTATTGAGGAAGTGCTGGACTATTTGCTGGAACAGGGCTTAAGCTAGAAAAACTGAGATTGCTCATGTGAAGAAAGAAGTCATGCAACTTTAATAAAAGTAAAATGTTGATCTGTCTTGATGTCTCTGCTAAAATGATGGTTACAGAACAGCAGAAATAAGTCAGTAAAACATACATATTCGGCGTTGGATAACAAAACCTTTGTTTTCATCGTGGTTCTTCCCAACAGTCAATAGGTGCTTCAGTTGTTTTAAACCATTGACAGTTGTGTTTTTTAGGTTTGGGGAACAGTTATATGTTTTTCACAGCAGACTGTGTGAGATTACATTGAAATGACCGATTTGTTTGGCTTCTAAACTGCGGCATTCACCTCATCCCCCAAGTTTTGATGTCATCCAGTTGCATCAGAAGAAAGGATGTGCCAGCTGTTGTGTCACCATGTTTATGGAAGTGAGGGAGCCACCCGGTCAAAAGTAAGATGTTCCCCTTGGAAATGGGTTAGCTGTCATCATAGCTGGTCTGTTGTTCACGTTACTTTAGGACGTGATGAGGATGTGGATGCTTCCTCCAAGATGAGCACATGATCATGCTCTGCAGGTTCCTGCTGCAGATAGTACACACTTCTAACTCAGTTCTTGGGTAATGCTATATCCATCTATTGGTGTCCTGGGCTGACAGAATTTAAGAAAACCTCCTTTGATGTTTGTGCTTCAGTAATTTTTCACTCCAGCTTCTTATGTCATATTACTGCAGCAGCTGCCAGAAAGGGGCTTTCACCTCTCAGCCTTCTCTTTGCAGCACTCACTTGGCAATGAAACGATGGCGAGAAACCTATAAGCCGGGCCCTTCGGCACTTTGAGCTACCAGTTCACCACTCACATCCACTACAGAGCAATTCTGCTCGGACGATTTCCACTGAAAGCTACAGATCAGGACACACATTTTCTTCTAGGTGAAAGCATTAGGAAGGATCCCACGCCTGTTTCCGTGCCTGCTGTGTTGGAATAGTTTATTGAACTGAACACATCTCTGCTTCTACTTGGGTGGCTGCAGCTCATGCCCCATTGAAACTCGTGTCGTGGTTGAACTCATTGGGGTAAATGCAGATACGAGAGCGAATTGTACAAACATTTCTGGGGGGCAAACTCATTTCAGAGGCAGAAGTAATCTCATTAAGTGTACTGAAGCTCAGTGGTAAAAACCAAAGCGGTTTTTGTGACTAAATACTGTAAAATAACACAGAAAACATTACAGCAAGCAGCAGAAAAAAATGCTGTTTTATTTCATTTCATTTAGCCTGACTCTATTCATCATCTAAGTCAATATCTATCATCTAAGTGTTGCTGCATACCTGCACAAATCATTTCCTTCTGCCTGGCTTCATGTCAAAAGCAGAAGCAGAGCAGAATGGTGAACTCGATCTATTTAATAAAATCGTCTTCATCGTCTTCGTGTATTCACAACGCATTTCCAGGAGATTTGATTTCCTCTAACCAATCACAAAAGACCTGTGTCTTCTTTTGAACTACGATGTCACTTTTTAAAGTTAATCACCCTTCCAAGATCCTCTCCTTATTTATCCTCTCCTTCCTTATCCTCTCCGTATGTTTGTACGTGGTTGAGTGAGTGTTGCCATCATGAACACATTAACAATAGCAACTAAAACAGAGAGGTGATGCCTTTAATGACTAAAAATTACTGACTGAGTTGGTGTTTAAGTAACATGTTAGCAGATTGCTAACTGACTGTATGTCTGTGGTAATTTGTTGAGAATGTGTGGACAATGTGGACAATCCCAGAATGAAACTGGGATCAATGCAGCATGTGTGTGTTTCTTTGGTTAGTTTTTCAAAGCTCTAATACAGATATTTCCTCTCATGATGTCTGTTTGATTACTTACTTTTTCCAAGGCTAATACCTTAAAAGACAAGTAAGGTCTCTTGGGGGAAGTATCTCCACAATCCTTATTGTTATTCCTTTGTTTTTGTTATTATTCATGCTGAAACTCCTCTGAGCAGTTTCCCTTTAACCACTTATTTGCTCTGTACTACCAAGTTCAACACACCCAAAGGTATCTTTCTGTTACCTATATTCAGAGGTGGGAAGTAACAAAGTTTCCTGTTAACCATTCCTCGCCGTCAGTCCCCTGACCGTGGTCGGGAGACACGAGGGGAGATGCTTCCTCCAGGGCCGAAGTTTGTCCTCCTTCGGGGTTAACTCCCTTCACTTTTGTGGAGTAGTGAGGCAGACAGAAATCAGCCGAGGCACCGGAGAGTACTGAAGAGATGAGGCTTTTAATAACAGTACTGCACACTTCGAAAACACACTGCATAGCCTGTAGCCCGTTAGAACGCTGCTCCCGGTCGCCCTCTCTACCCATGACACACTCTCTCACTCTCTTTTCCCTCTTTCGCTCCCCGCGTTTCCTTCACGCACATGCTCACACACACATCACATACACTCCTTACTGCACCCAGTCACACACAAGACAGCAATTCCCGCAACACTACCCCCACTCTGGATGGCAATTAAACAATAATTCCACTCCAGCATTGTAATGCATAAAACTGGTACACAATCCCCTTTACCACTTGGAGCCCACAGGAGATAAAAGTGTTAGCCATTACCGCATATAAGGTGAGGTATAGTATCAATGAGTGCACTTCAGTGACAAAGAGGTTGGCTCAAGTATGGTGTACATACATGTGCAAAATAAAGCATTTCAAGTGCTGTTAAGTAGAAAAGAAATTACACACTTGTAACTATTACATGGCGACCGGGAATAACTAACTTATCCTAGCATCTAGGAAGGCACAAATACAAATGGATAAGTGCATGTAGATAACCCCGTAGGTCCTTCAGATACTTTACTCACTTTTTTTTTAAATGTAAACACTGGAACAATGAAAAATATAGCTCTTTTAAACCATTGTAGCTAACAGTGTAGGAGGCTGAAACGATTTAAACTTGAACTGAATCTTCAGTCCTACTTGGAACTGTCCATGGTAGGTAAACCAAGCTAAGTGATCCACACTCCATACCGGTCTGAGCTCGCGCCGACGAGTTGGTCGCTGAAACTGCTGGCCCGGGTGGTCTGGCTCACCCACCACACCCCCACCATTCTCATGGTCTACATGGGAAGGGGACGATGGGACAACCACAACCAGAGCGGGATCAGCTGCAACTGAGACAGAAGGCTGAGAGGAGCTGGGGCCATTGCCAGTTGCAGTAGAGAACAGACTGTGCAGACCCAGATCACGGTCTGCTGGGTCATCTTCTAAAGCTGGTGGTGGGACCTCTGTAGGGGACCACTGATGAGCCTGATCAAGGACCCAGGTATTGTCCAGTGGCTCGCGGCAGCGATAATGCTTTAGCTGGTCATGGTGGACAACTTTCACTTTAGACCTTGGGTTCTTCTGGATCCGATAAACTAGGTCATCCAATTGCCCAGGACAAAGAATGGTCCTTCATACGATGGGAGGAACTTTCTGACCTTGTTCTTGACGTGACGTGTTCCTTTGATGAGATACCACACAGGATCTCCAGTCTTATACTGTGTGTGGCAACAGTTCTTGTCATATTGCCTTTTTGCGCGCTTGACTGACTCACCCAGGGCTTCCCTGGCAATGAGGTGGGCCAGCTCCAGCCGCTCACGCATTTGCTGCACATACTCGGAGCTGAGGGTTGGTTGTCTGGATCAGGAGGTAGACCTGCGACAAGGTCCACTGGCTCACTCAGTTCTCGGCCAAACATCATGAAGTTCGGGGTGAAACCTGTAGCACTGTGTTTGGTCGCCCTGTAGGCCATAACAGCGTACGGGATCATCAGGTCCCAGTCCCAATGACAACGCTCTGCTGTGGAGGCCAGGATCTTCTGGAGAGTGGCATTGAAACGTTCAACCTGGCCATCTGACTGGGGTCGGAATGGCGTTGTATGAGTCTTATCTATGCCAAACAAACTGCACACCCCTTGGAACACATCAGATTCAAAATTGCGTCCCTGGTCACTGTGTAGTGCTTGAGGTATCCCGTAGCGGCACACCCACTCAGATGCAACGACCTCGGCAACGGTTGCAGCCCGTTCATCTGGGATAGGAAAGGCTTCAGTCCACTTTGTAAAGTAGTCTTGTATCACAAGCACATATCGGTTTCTGCGCTCTGTCTCATTCAGTGGTCCCATAATGTCCAGCGCAACGCGCTCCATTGGGGCTCCTACCCGGACAGTTCCCATCGGAGCTTGCGGTGTCTTCTGGGGTCGGGCCCTGGATGCACAGCTGGTACAAGTACGGCACCAAAGAGCGACGTCTTCCCTCATGTGATACCAATAGAATCGGGTTCGTAGTCTGGCCACAGTCCTCTCGACACCAAAATGTCCACCCACTGGCCCTTCGTGCATCTGGCCCATCACTTCTGGTTGTAGCTTGCGTGGCAGTACGATTTGGGGATAGAACTGGGTCTCGTCAAGGCAGTAGAAGCGACGGACCAGAACTCCATCTCTGAAGTAGAGCCGTTTCCATTGAGCCCAGTATGTCTTAGTTGCTGGGCTGCATGGTGAAACAATAGTCCATGGGGGGCGCTCACTGCTGGCCTCCATCCAGGCGCGTATGGGTGCAATGTCTGCATCAGCGTCCTGGGCTTGGCTCAGCTCCCCCATGGTCCAGCCATGAAACAGAGAAGCAGTATCAAGGGTTTTAGCCACATATACTTTCTCAGTCAGCTTTACAGTGTGTGTATTAGTGGACATGTTCTGGTGTGATATGTCTGTTCTAGTGTGAATTGTCTGTTCTGAGATGTCTGTGTTGATAGGAGTGTTTTGACATAAAATGTCTGACTTTGTAAGAGCAGTTTGGTCTAAAGTCTTTGTTTCTGGTGTGGTGGTGTTATGACTTACCCCCACTAGACACACCGCTGTAGTAGCCGGTTGTCCCTCCACCCTCACCGGACTCAGCAACAGGGAGCTGGTGTCAGAGTCCAACTCGCATTGAACTGCCTGATGACTGGTCCCCCCGAGATGCTTGGGGGGGTCCTGCACTCTGCATGGACAGGACTGGCGACAGGGTCTTCTGGAGAGGCTTCATTGTTGCATCGCTGAGTGTGAGTGTCTCGGCAGCTTCTCGAGCCATCGAGTAATTCCGCTCTTCTTGTTAGCCACGAGACTGCTGTGGTCTGTGCGCACTTTGAAAGGCCGTCCAAGGAGATACTGGCGAAAGTGGGACGTGAAATCCACGACGGCTAGTAGTTCACGTCGTGTGGTGCAGTAGTTTTGTTCAGTTCTTGATAGCTTACGACTGCCATATGCCAGCACACGTTCCACGCCCTGTTGCATCTGTGACAGCACCGCGCCGATGCCAGTGTCGCTGGCATCAGTGTCTAGTGTCATTTCTCCATGGTCAAGTGGATAGCCAAGAACAGGGGCAGAGGTGAGTCGACACTTCAGCTTGTCGAAAGCTGCTTGGTGCTCAGCATGCCACTGAAAATGTGCATTCTTCTTGGTCAGGTTGTGCAGGGGTTCGGCTATAGAGGCAAAATCTTTCACAAACCGGCGGTAATATGAGGCCAGGCCGATGAAGCGTCTGACCTCCTGGATGGACGTAGGTGTGGGCCACATCTGAACCTTTTTGAACTTTGCTGGGGTCGGTAGCCACACCATGCTCGGATACCACATGGCCAAGATAAGCAACTTCGCGGCGAAAGAGGCAGCATTTGGCAGGTTTCAGTTTCAAGTTAGCTTGTTGAAGTCTATAGAATACCTGGCCAAGCCGTTGCAGCATCCCCGACACGTCCTTAGCCAGCACGATGATGTCGTCCAAGTAGACCAGGCAGGTCTCCCACTGCATGCCAGCCAGGACGCGGTCCATCAGCCGCTGGAACGTTGCCGGGGCATTGCATAGTCCAAATGGCATGACGTTCCACTCAAAGAGGCCTGTCCTAGTGCAGAAAGCGGCGGCCCTGCGTGCTCTAGGCGTCAGCTCAACCTGCCAGTAGCCAGATGCGAGGTCTAATGTGCTGAACCATCTGGCAGTTGAGAGTGTGTCCAGCGTGTCCTGGATGCGGGGCAGCGGGTAGGCGTCTGTTATGGTGCGGTCGTTGAGAGCCCTGTAGTCAATGCAGAGACGGTATGTCCCATCTTTCTTACGCACCATAACGATGGGCGAGGCCCAGCTGCTGCAGCTGCGTTGGGCGAGACCGCTCTGTAGACTGTCGTAGATCTGCTGATCAGCATTTTGCTGCTTTTCCCCTGCCATTCTTCGTGGATTTTGTTTGACTGGGGCACCAGGACGGGTTATGATGTCATGCTGCACAAGGCTGGTTCGGCCCAGGTCAGCAGGCCCTGTAGAAAACACATGTCCATAAGTGCAAAGCAAGCGTTTCAGTTGGAGCTGTTCATAGTCATTGAGGTCTGTGGAGCTCTGGGCATAGAGCTCCTGCAGGTGCAGAGGAACCACAGGAGGGCTGGTCAGAGAGTCTGCAGCTGGGGAGACCATGGAGGGTTCCACGGCCTCAGCTGGCTGGAGGAGCCCGGCAATGGATCCCGCCTTAATTGTTACTGCTTTATTGCCAAGGTTAAAAAGGCGAAGTGGGACAGCTTTAGAAGGCTGTGCGTTGACTAGGACTCTGGCGATAAGTACTTTGTGCTTCTCAACAAAACCTTTGGTGGGACTAAGCATCATGTCACCTCGAGCTGCTGCACCAGGATGCACGTTGCCTTTCACCATATACTCTTGCCCCGGTTCCACCACCACAGTTCTAGCTATTCTCACTGCGTGTGACTTTGTACTGGCTTCGGTTTGGTAGTAGAGCACCTCTTCACCGAAAAGGATGATGCGGCGTTTGCCAAAATCAAGACGTGCTTCAGCTTGAGTGAGGAAGGGATGCCCAAGCAGCACCTCATTTCCTGCTATATCTGCCACCAAGAAATCAACATCCACCTGTCGATTGTTGATATTGACAGGTATCTGGGCTTCACCTAGCACCGGCACGTCCCCAGGTCCCACACCAAGCAAGGTCTCAACAACTGAGGGCTGTAGTGGTGGTCTCACGTCTGGGTGGATGGAGTTGTAGTAGGGCAGCGGCAGCACGCTCCTCCGGGCTCCACTGTCCAAAACAGCACATACCTCCACTTCGTAGAGGCGCATGGGGATACTCATTTCTTGGCTTTGGCACTTAAGGTGGAGCACAGTGGGTTTTGGGCTGTCCCAAGGGCTACTGTTCAATGTTAAGGCCTTGGTGGTTTTGTGAGGGGAAGGGCACTGCTTTTGGACATGGCCCCAACCTTGACAGTTATGGCAGCGAACCCCACTCCTTTTAAAATTTCTGTGATTGTTCGGTGTTGTCGAGGGTGTGTGTGGGACAAAACGATTCGGTGAGGGGCTAGCTGCAGGTGCATGCTCAGCAACAGTCTCATCTCTGTCTTTTTCTCTGACGACGGCAGCTCGGGGCCGGCGTTCAGCTGCGTTACGGGCTCCTTGCTGCATGGCACTGGTTACATAAGATGCAGCCCTTTTAGTGGTTTCGTGTCGGTGGGCTATTTCGTATGCACAGGCAAGTGTGGCTGGGTGCCTCTCTAGCAACTTCTGTACTATTTCTGCATCACCCAGCCCATTGGTGAAAACTTCAACAGCTATAGAGTCTTGTTCAATCTCTGCTCTATTACCATATGCAACAGCCACTTTCCCATAAATGTCATCTCTGAAAACATGCAGGGCCTCACCAGGTTTACGCACTCGCTGCCTCAGTTCTACAGCAACAGCAGCTGCATGGTCAGAAGAAGGGCCATATGCAGTTTCCATCTCTTT